CCCGCCGCCGCCATCCGTCCCTTCTGTGCTCGCGCCCGCGGGGAGAGAGCAAGTTCCTTCGGAGCCAGAAGCAGCGGCAACGGCCGGGCGCGGATTCTCGGTATTTTCCCTTCCGACGCCTGGCCGTGGCCGCCACGGCAGACTTTCCTCTACGACCGCCTCCTTCTCCTTCTTGTTCTGCCCTTCCGCCTTACCTCCCCCAGGCATGTTCCCTTCCTCGGTGTCCCCCTGGCCGTTCATCCCGATCCCAAACGCCACCGCCACCGCCGGCAACGGCGGCTTGACGTCTTCCGCTGCTGGCGCCGGTTGCCACGGCGCGACGGCGGGACACGATGATGCCACCCCCCCCGGCGAGGGCGGGGGAGAGGAGGAGGAGGACAGCGAGGACATGCGGTGGAGGGCTTGCGTGGCCGCGCGGCGCGGGGGCGGGGCCGGAGCGAACCCGAACGTAGACGGCACCGGCGGCGGGGGCCTTGGCGGCGAAAACCCACGGGCGGGACGGGGGGGTTCTCGGATCAAAATTCGTGACGATTAGGGGTACAGGTATTCATCCCGTTGGATTTAGCGCGGATTACGCATCACCTCTACCTATCGAGACAGGGGGCGGCGGATACCGATGAATCGAGTTCCTGGTTCCGTATCTTGGCTACGACAACACCATCACCGACCAAGCCGGTCGACAACCGGAAGGCCGGCATCATCGCAAAGTACGCGCAAACGGTCGCCGTGAAACACGCCTGGACACCGGTGCGGGGACAATCAGATCTCAAAACACCATCTAGCGCAAGCAAATAACTCATGTTGGTTCTCCCGAGGTAGAGGAAAAACGAAGGCGTCCGAGAATTCTCCAGTAGCTTGGCATCATTGAAGAGGATTCCCATCGATAGATACGAACTCTCAAGCTGACGTGCAAACAGGCTCCATCCGCATCGTGATCACAGCTACAAGCTGGCCTATCCTTGTCCGAAGCAGCCCTGAAGGTGAACCAGCTTTGCCGGCCCTGGGATGACCTTCACATGGACTCGGTTGCATCGGCTGTAGCCCCCATACCCCCCCCCAAAACACACAAAAACCGTCGTAGGACAGGACGATTGTTGAACATCAACCTCAGAGAGAGTAAATAAAAACACGGCTAGATCTCCGAAAAAACAAAGCGAAATGTGGGCGAGACTCTCTCTCTCTCTCTCTCTCTCTCTCTCTCTCTCTCTCTCTCTCCCTCGCTCTCTCTCTCTCTCGCTGCTTGTCTGTCTGTCTGTCCTCCCCCTCCCACTCACTTTCGGATCCGCTTAGCGGACTCGTCCTTGGCTTCCCCACCCGCCGGGCGGGCCCTCATCCCGATGCCCTGGCCGCTACTGCCTACCACCGGTGCCGTCGCCGGTCCCGCCTCCGCCACAGGGGTGACCTTCTTTTCTGATTCCTTGAGAGCTTCTTCGAGTCCCGGCCAGGCTTCGGCCTACGGTACGGGCGGCAAGCGAGGAACCGGCAAGAACTTGAGACCGCTTGAAAACAACTGAACGAGGGTGTTTGTTCCAACTCATACGGTCTGGAGGGTGATAGTTTGGCGAAACAGATCAAGCGGTGACACATGCTGGAAAGATACCAAAAACAAGACACGAAAAAATAGGTTTAAAAACGCGCGCTATGTTAGACCTCCAGCTTGCCTAATGCCTCATGCTGTATTCGAGACAACCGTTTTCCGCCGCCGATGGTACCGCTGTCGGCGTGAGAGCGACGGGCCAAATATTTTCCTCGACGTGCGTCCTGGTTGGCATGCGTTCGTAAATTTGGCGCCCAAGTAAGGTCGAAACCAAAACCCAGGGTGAAAAGATCTCTGGAGCTAGCTCATCAGTCTCGAAAACCACCCTACCCCAGCGTCGACACCAGACAAACCTCAGCAGCACGCCTCCCTCTCAATGATACCAGTGCTGTCACGCACCTCTACGCCTGATCCCGATCCCCGGGCGCCCTTCCGCCCTCCCCGTTTCGGAGAGGCCGAGCCCCCCCCGCGAGGAGAAGCGGAACCCCGTCCCCCCCGGGCGCCCTCCGGCGCGTCTCCAGCGAGATCACCACCACGATTGGGTCCGGCGGTGGCGGCGGCTCCTTTCGTTCCCTTCCTCGTCAATGCAATAGACATCGCGTCCCGGACTTCGGAGGCCTCCGCTCCCGCCCCCGATCTTGCCAGCACCGCACTGGGAACCTGCTAATACCGGAATCCCGCCGCGAGTTGACGACGAACAAATAACAAAACACCATCAACAAGGGCGTCGGCTGTGCCACACGGGATGTGGAAACCCCAGGGAGAACTACCCAACAATTCACCGAGCGTCCTCCACGGTTGACTGGTCGCTCACCGAACACCCACAACAAGGAACACAAATGAGGCTCTCGCCGTGCTCGACAGAACAAAACGCTCACCAACCGGACAACCACAGGGAAACAGTCTCCGGTATCTAACAGCAGGGACGGCCACAACGATGCACGCGGGAAAAGGGGAAACACACGTAGCCGCTGCCTGGCTGTACACCACCATCATCCAGTGCATGCATGTATGGTGGTGAGTATGCACCCTGGCTTTTGACCTGAAACACTTCTTGGAAGCGCTTCTCCAGGAAGCCCCCCTCGAAAAGCTTTGCCAGGGGCGGGCACTCGTCGATGACGACGGCCATCTTGAAGAAGCCTGTGCCTGGATGCGCGGCATCGAGGTTGGGGGGCGGGGAGGGGCGGTAAGGGGCAGCAGCGTCAGCAGTGGTGAAGGGGGGTACTCATAGTCGTGCATGCCGTAGTCGATAGACCATTGACCTCACATCCCTACCAAGCCGGGACGGAGCACGCCGGGTTCTCACCGGACCAGGCAGCAGTCGTGAAGGGGGGGGCAAGCACACGAAATGCATCAATGTACATATCGCAAAGAAGAAAGAGAAGGTACACGCATAAAAGAGACATCGACGTGGATGGACGAGTCGGAACCATACAGCAGTGCTACAGAAAGAAAACGCTTTGCATTGTGGAAGCTGACATCAACAGAAGGATACCACAACATCTGACAAAAAATCAATACACCCCTTCTGATTTTTTTACCTCGGTTTTTTTTTTGGCGGTAACCATAATGGTGGTCGAGTAGATCATGTTGTGCGGGGTCGAGAAACCTCACTCCGCGCAACGGGGGATGATCGCACCACGTTGTGTTAAAATGGTCAAGCTTCCTCGAGGCAGTTACACAGTGCTTACAACTGCCTCTGGAAGTGAAAGCACCAGAAAATAAATTAAGTCATACGTAGCTGTCATCCGTACG